TCCTGCGCAAGAATCAAATAATCATAAAAAAAAAAAATATACAAACGCAAATAATAAAAAAAAATAGTACGAGTATTACTCGCCTTGTAGCCCCTAATCACCTGCTCACCTCTAGGAGCAAAAGACTACGCACTGACTGGGTGACGAAGCTTCCCGAATATTGGCCCTCGAGGCCTGACGCAGAGAGCTGATGCTGATAACTCTGTGTTGCCTAGAACAAGACGCTTCCTAAAGTAGAGCATCAACTGTGGCAATTACCTCTTCAGGTGCCCAGGCTGACACACTAATAGCAGACAAAGGTTGGCCCTCCCTGCCCTGACTCTGGCCCTGAGGTCTAGCTGAAGAAGAAGCAGCTCGCTGACCCCCTCCCTTCTGCGGGCAAATCGAAGACTTGTGACCCAGCTGGCCACATGCAAAACAAGTCAAGCCTCCCTGACTACCTCTCCCAGAGCCCGTACTTGGCACTGGAAAGGTCGATCTAGCCAAACCACCCTGAGACTGCTAAGGGTTAGAACCTCTCTGTCTCCTGCCGTCACCCTGACCATCTTGGCTCCTCTTGGAGCCTCTCTGCCCTTCATCCTCTTCCTGCATCACAATCTCCATATGGGCAGCAGCATCAACTAAACGTCTGTACTCTTAGATAAAGGACCCTCCAACCCTCAGCTTGAGTCCACACCTCAACTTCCGTTTAAACTCTAAACAACGGCGTTCTTCGGACGCCACCAGTTCAGGTGCAAACCTGGACAGACTAGTAAAAGTATCATCAAATTCGGCCACAGACAAGCCCTGCTGTTTAAGCTGGCAAAATTGCTCCCTCAGCTTCTCCCTTGCAGCTAAAGATAAAAACTTCTCCTAGAAAGCATTCGCAAACGCCTCTCATGCACCACCACCACCACTGACCCGCATCTCCCTTTAGCTGGAAGGATGCCAAGGTCACCTTTAAAGCCCCGTCCTCGATGCCAAGCATCTCAAACGTCTTCTCCATCTGTTCCAACCACTCGTCAGCCTTAAGTGGCTCCTTCGGTTCCCCTATAAACTCGTCCGGATTGGACCGGAAGAATTCCCTCTTCAAGAAGGAAGGCCCTGCCTCAGCTGCGTGGGCCTGTTCCTGATTTCCAGCTCTGAGAATACCCAAAGCTCCTGCTATCTCTCAGGCCAAGGCACTCTTAGCCTGCTGACCCCACATTGGCCTGACCAACTCCCTCCTGCTGTGCCAGAATATCATCCGGTAAAGGCATCTCTTGCCTACCATGTCCTCGTCCTGACATCCTAATAAAGGTAACCAAGACTATTAGCACATTCACAAATGTGCCGAAGCTATAACACTCACGTCCTAATGCATGGACAACTGTAATTCACTCAACGTACTAATGCATGAAAAACTGTAATTCACTCCACGTAAGCACATAAACACATAAGCACTTCCGAATTTCATTTTTGGATAATGATAGTCCCTAGGCGTTACTAGAGTTCCGGTTAGAAATAGCATTGATCAAGTGCTTTTCCAACAAGACTCACAGAAACCCAAGGATCCAATCAACATCCTAGAAACTAAATCCCATACCCAAGTAGTCACATAAACATGTTATCAAATAAACACATAATGTCACACATGAGTCTCTAACAAGCGAGACAAACCCATTGTGATACTAATCACTTCCCACGTACCCAAAGTATTCGAACCCGGTACGCTCTGATACAAAGTTGTAACGCCCTCAAAAAAAATAACATTGAAACCCATCAACTTAGACATGCATTGGTATAAAAGATAAATATTCTTCTATTCATCAGAGTAGTTCTTTACAAAAGTATTACATGTTAACAACAAAAGCAAATGCCCTACGGGCTTACAGCTTTCCAAGTTAACACTTGGTTACATAAAAAAAGAGTGCTAACTCAATGCATATTAATCCATAGGCTTGAATTTACATGTAATACATGTAAAGAAAGCAAATAACAGAACAGTCTGTATGCCTCTAGCCTCCCAAGCTTTGTCCTTGGAGGTGGCATGCTACGTGTACCTGAAAATGATGTCCCATAAAGTGTGAGCCACAGCCCAGTAGAAATATGCTAAACACAATATGAGCAATAACTAAGACAATAGCAATTGATAAATGTTCAATTTCCATAAATCAATTCATAACCCATTCCCATTTCATGACCACTATGTTCATGTTTCATTTCAGTTTCCATTTCTTATCAATTTTACAATTTACATCAACAGCTCAGAACCTGGCCAACCACCTATATGAGACAGTGACTCATATTAAACGTTTCCCCTTTTTACAATAGATAAACATACTACTTGTATCAACATCTCAATAGATAAGTATACAAGCTGTATCCACATTTCAACAGATATGCATATTAGCTATATCAACACTTCCAAAGATAAGCATATGAGCTGTATCAACACTTCCATAGATAAGCATATAAGCTATATCAACACATTATCTGATAAGCATATGAGCTGTATTAGTGGAGTCCATCCCCTATCTTCTCCCAAACAACATCCGATTTAGAGGTCCATCCCCTATCTTCCCCTAAACCGTGGAGTACATCCCCTATCTCCTCCCACACACACAACGTATATACATAAAGGTCATATACACAATCAATCAATACATAACGTTAATGTATTCTATCAACCGTCATACTCTATGACATATGCCTTTGATTAGTTTTAGTTTGCCTAATCATCATGCATTGTCTATAACAATTAAAACTACCCTCCACCGGTAGCCCAAGCAATTATTTCTAAACAGATAATAAAATCTCCAACAGATAAAATATCAATGTTTTCAAAAGTGAGTGATTGATGAATCTAACACCACTATTCTACTATATAATGAACCAATTTCATCATTTCCAACTCAATTTCATAAAATCACAATTTTCCTAAAATTAGGGTTTTCCACCCGATTTCCCAATATTGACCCAATGGCCTAAATATTAACAACGAACAACGATATAATTATTTTGAACCCACAACACACATTTTAGACTCAAAACAACAAAATCCTCTTTTAACATTTTGAAACCCTAAGTCCCAAAATTTACCCAACTTCAACACTTTATCAAAACAACCAAAAATTATGTCAAAGACCATAAGAGTGAGTAGGAATCCCTACCTCAAAATCGGAGCTCAAGGGAAGAAGAGGAAGAAACTCAACGTGCTCCAAAACTCAATATTCTCAGATCAAAGTGTAGCCCTCGACGATCAACCCAACTTTTACAAAGGCCGAAGGAAAAACAAATACTCTAAGTAGATCAAACCCTAGAGAGAAGGGAGTTTCTAGAGAGAGGAACTCTCAAAATGTCTTTTTAGAAAGTAAGCGAGAGAGAGAGAATGTAAAAAGTGAATTTAAAACGCCCAGCTGCCAACTGATATACGACATTCCCGCTCGAGTGGAGAACACAACGCTCGAGCGTCAAGAAGAAAAAACTAGGTACGCTCGAGCGCAAGAAGGCCCGCTTGAGCGCCAAGACACAAGAATAAAATACATCCGCTCAAGCGCGAAAACCAGTCCGCTCGAGCGTAGATTTCTCCTTCCCAGAACTTACACCAAGAAGTACTACCCGCTCGAGTGCCAGAGTACCCGCTCGAGCGTAAAGAAACCCGCTCGAGCGTGAAAAACATGCTTGCAGAAGTTCTGTAGAGCACCAAAATACTAGGAGCGTGTAATCTCCGCTTGAGCGCAAGAAGACCCGCTCGAGCGGACCTCCTAAAAATTAGGCAACAAGGATTTAAAACCAAAGCCTAACCAGCCTGTAACAACTCTGCCCAATACATCCTAAAACTCAATCAAGCGGAATTAAAGGACAACAACAAGATAGATACAACTACCAACTTCACGGAACCGAGTCCGGAATACAACAAAACAGTGAAGGGATAACCAGGTTCGCTATAACACCTGAGAGATTTGGTAACACCAAAAGAGGGGCTGTTTTGGTGGGTTTGCTTTTTGGGATTTTTGGAACAAAATTTTTGTTGCAAAAGTCTTGCAAGTATCCGGTAAATTTGCTAGTGTAAATCTATTAGATAAATAGTGGAAATACTCGAGGGGGAGCTTTGAGGAATGGACGTAGGTTTGAGTTGAAACCGAACCACTATAAATCTTGTGTTTGCCTTCTCTCTCTCTCTCTATCTCTCTCTCTTTCTCTCTCTCTCCTTTATATTTATACTTTCGGCTCTGTTTTGCTTTGACTTGATTTACTCACACACATTATTGCTCATGTTTTACATATTCATTCTTTTATTTTACTTGAGTTGACCAAGTTAATTTTATTGAATTATTTCATTTTAAGTTATATTTTTCAACTCAATTTCCCCCTCTTGTGTTGTCTACATGGTGTGACACTATGAATAAAAAGTTCAACCTTGCTCAGTTTGTTACATATATAAGCAAGTTCAAATTAAATTTTTAGACTTGTTTAATAAACTCAATAAGAGCTCAACTCTACTAAGTTTGTTACATATATAAACAATGTCAAACCAATCTTTTCAGCTCGTTTAATAAGTGAGTCACTCAAGGTTCCAGTCAATTTTTTTTCTTCATTATTGAGTTTCAAACCAAACTTGAGCATAATTAGTATTTTTCTTCATTATTAAGTTTCAAACTGAACTTGTTCATTATTGAGTTTATCAAACTCGAGCATAATTAGTATTTTTCTTCATTATTAAGTTTCAAACCAAACTTGAATATAATTAGTATAAAGAAACTGAGATGAGCTCAAGCATTAATTAGCATAAATATTCAACCTCAACTTAAACTTTTCTTTTTTGAGCTTGATAAACAAACGAGTTCAGCTCGGCTCATTTGCCACACTGGCCACTAAGAACCAACAACTAAGAGAAATAGATCAATGGGGAAGATACAATTTAGCTTTTGGGCCAAAAAACACCTGGATTGATTTATTAAAAAACACTGTATTCTATTACAATTACATAACAGTTAGGTTGAAAATCTTTTGTCCGGCTTTGTCGCTCTCTTATATCCTTCTGTTTCGAACTCTCTCTATCATATGATTCAAGTGAAGCTTAGCATGAAAGTTAGTAATACATCTTGAGAATGACAAGCTTCGCATTCCAAATCCTTAATTGAGGCAAGTGGTTGATTCTACAAGTACCACCGCATCGGATGCTTCACAGGTAAGTCTGAATTTCTCCATATTTCCACAGCTTTTGTGACTTCACAGAGAGTACTAAACAGGTAGTGAGTAGCGAGTAGAGATTGAAGTTGATAATGTTTCATCTAAAACCAACCTTTCATCCAACCCGACTCTTACTGTCATGGTTCTAATATAAACTCTAAAGCTTACATCACCACAAAAGTTCCGAAACACCATGATTGGAATGTAGAGGGAAAAGGAGAAACACCAAACAAGAATATATAACAGACTCTGAAGAAACACACTACATTAACTACTAGCCATAGTTTCTGCTCACAATTCAACAATTCATCGGAAGCTTCTGTAATTAGGAGTATACATGCAGCTTTTGGCGTGCTTCAACAGATTATCACACCGAGGGAGACGCGTTGCCAACCCTATGAAACATTGTGAAAGTCATAAAAATAAACATGCTTCAAAGGGCAATTATAGCGGTGGTAAGACACATGAAGCAACCAAAGGTACACTTACTAACTCACCAAGTTCATATGCTTTAGCAGCCACATTAGCAGCAATGTAGCCAGAGATCTTTCTGATATTACAGAATGGTGGATAGATCAAACCCTTGTCTAAATTCTTGTTTTTTACTTGCTCAGCCAAAGCCTCTGTTGTTACAAAGGAAAGTAGATGATTTAGATACCAGGGTGAACCATGCTATTTATTTGTTGTGCCTGTCGCCTAGAATTGCAATTTAATAGGTTTCGCCAAAAGTTTTCCATAGTGCTTCACACATGATTATGTGCAACCCAGTGTAAAAAACTTATGTTAAAAGGATATCTAGAGAGGGCAAGATGTATAGATACTGTTTCAATGACTTGAACCTGCGCCACCAGGGACGCTAATGGCAAATCGCCCTTACAGAACCAGATCACACATCAAGGGAATAAAACAAACACAAGGTGTTTTTTGAGTTTACATTCTATTGGAATCTGAGTAAACATCTCAAAACTTTTTCTAAAGAGAGTCTGTTCATTATTTATGACTTGCATATATATGTGACCAGAGGAAAGGGAAAAAAATAATAAAGCATAAGTAAAATGAAATAAAATAAAGGAATGAATTCTTTGCTCTTCAATTAGCAAGTAAATTGTATTCAACTTATAATGTATCTAATTATGTAATTTGTAGTGCACTTATAAGCTGCTAGAAGCATTTCATCGTGTGCATGAATTGCACTAGAGACGACCAAGCGCAAACCAAATCCAGGGAAAATATACGCATTATTTGCCTGAATTGATCACTAAAAACAAAAGGTGCCATCAAAATCAGTTTTTAGTATCCATCTCAGATGTATCAAGTATATAACACTAAAAAACTGGAAGAATAAAGTAATAGAACCTGGCCGGGTAGATAGAGTTTGCCATTGTATTCTACAGGGTCAAATGGACTTCCACTTGCAAAAATTGCATGTCCCTTTTTTTAGAATAGAGAAATTTATTAGTTTTGTATTTAAATCCAATCAGACATTACTTTGCATCAAAGCATCAAATTATAGGATAAGAAAAAATGCATAATTTATTTTCACCTGACTCTAGGTGTAAGCTTCTTTAGCTGTGCACTAAGATTGCGAGGTTGGGTTAGAAAGAGCCATAATGAGAGGTTTCTGCATGCCATTCATTTAGAGTCTTATTGTAAAATTTTGGAGAGAGAGAGAGAGAGTACCTCACTGAAGGAGGCCATGGCCTCAATCACCTCTGTTGTGAATGTTCTTCCCACTCTAGATGAACCAAATGGACTTGCAAAGGTAAACTCACCAACTCACCAAGTTCATATTCTTTAGCAGCTATATCAGTAGCAAATGTGGGCCGAGATCTTTCTGATATTAGAGAATGGTGGATAGATCAAACCCTTGTTGTTACAAAGGAAAGTAGATGATTTAGATACAGAGGTGAACCATTCTATCTATTTGTCGTGCCCATTTGCATAGAAGTAACTTCAATTCAATAGGTTTTGTCAAAAGTTTTCCATCGTGCTTTGCACATGATTGTGGGCAGCCTAGTGTATGAAGCTTCTGCTAAAATGGGATCTAGAGAGGATAAGATATACATAGTTTTCTTTCATTTTTGCAGAGACTGTCTATGACTCAAACCTGTGCTACTAGGGATGCTAATGGCAAGCCTTACCGTTGAGCCAAATCACCCTTACAAAACCAGATCACACATCAAGGGAATAAAACAAACACAAGGTGTCATTTAGTTTACATTCTATTGGAATCTGAGTAAACATCTCAAAAATTTTTCTAAGAGTTTATTCATTATTTGTGCCCTATATAGATATGTGACCAGAGGAAATGGAAAAAACAAATAAAGCAAAGTAAAATGAAATAAAATAAAGGAAAGAATTCCTTTCTCATCAATAAGCAAGTAAATTGTATCCAACTTATAATATATGTAATTATGTTATATGTAGTGCACTTATAGGTTGGCAGAAGCATTTCATCATGTACATGAATTGCACCAGAGATGACCAAACCCAAACTAAATCCAGGGAAAATATATGCATTATTTGCCTGAATGGATCACAAAAGAAAAAAAAAAAGAAAAAAGAAAAAGCCATCAAAATTAGTTTTTCGTATCCATCTCAGATGTATTAAGGATATAACACCAAAAAACTAGAAGTACAAAGTAATAGAACCTGGCCAGGTACAAAGACTTTGTCATTGTATTCCATAGGGTCAAATGGACTTCCACTAGCAAAAATTGCATGTCCCTTTTTTTAGAACAAAGAAATTTATTAGTTTTGTATTTAAATCCAATCAGACATTACTTTGCATTAAAGCATCAAATTATAGGATAAGAAAAAATACATAATTTATATTTACTTGACTCCAGGTGTAAGCTTCTTTAGCTGTGCACTTAGATTGCAAGGTTGGGTTGGAGAGAGCCATAATGAGAGGTTTCTGCATGTCATTCATTTAAAGTCTTGAGAGGAAATTTTGTATAGAGAGAGAGAGAGAGAGAGAGTACCTCATTGAAGGAGGCCATGGCCTCGATCACCTCTTTTGTGAATGTTCTTTCCACTCTAGGTGAACCAATTAGAACTGTCGACTTGATAGCCTGATGACATTTGAAAATGAAATAGAGTCCAACAATCACTGAGAACTATCTTCTTATAATAAAATATAGACACAAAGGGAATGCATCAAACCTTGCCAGCATCTAAAAGATCCTTAACGGGTTCATGTTCGGGAGCCCAAGGTTTCTTGAAGTGTTGAAGGGAATTCTTACAAGAACTAACGATTAATCCCTGCAACAGAAATCACACGCTATGATTAATGCAAGACACAAGTGCCAAAAAAGGTCAAAATGGAAACAAAATAAAAATAGGAAGAGTCATGATCGACAAAATATCCATCATTTAGCAAGCAACCTTCACTAGACTTTTCACTACCTTTGAGTCCACAAGCCAAATCTTCTTATGCATCGCTTCCAAAGGAGCTTTGGTCTATAACAGACGAATAAAACAAGAGAATCATCGAGCAACTATAAGAATATATATTGTATGTATGGCATGATTATGTAAAAATAGAATTCTTTGTATTTCTTTTTTCTTTGTATTTCCCTTTTTAGTCCTAGGTTTAGGCTATATAAATCGATGACCTCTTTGTAAACAATACACAATTGAATATACGAATTCTTTTAGAATACTTACATAGTATCAGAGCCATGTTTGTAACCCTAGCGCCGTCATCTTCCTCAGTTGTCTCTTATCAGTCTCTATGCTCGCAAACCCTAGCACTGTCATCTGCCTCAGCTGTCAGTCTGTGTGCTCGCGAGCCCTAGCCGTTAGTCTGTGTATTCGCGAGCCCTAGCACGGTCGTCTCCCTCAGCCCTTTCTACTGAGTCTCGTCGTTGCATCGTCGTCGTCTCCCTCAGTCATATTTGCTTCTCCTCGCCTCATCTCTACTTTGTCTCATCTCGGATTACATTGTCACGACCATTGTATCTCTCTCTCTCTCTGCTCGTGTAGCTTGGTTTGGTTTGTGGTTAATAAACTCAAAATTTATTTTAGATTTATTATTGTTTGACCCAACACGTTCTAAATATTATAATTCTATAACCCTTGTTTCATTTTAATGTCGGATACTAAAACCCAAGCTATCAAGTGCAAACTCATTGGTAACAATTATGCCTATTGGGCCAGTGTTATGAAGAACTTTTTTCTCGGTCAGGAAAAGGGGATATGTTTCTAGTTCTGTTCCTCAGCCATTGGACTCAAAAGCAGAAGGATATCTGACTTCCTGTGATACTTGGTATTGTGATAATGCCCAAGTTCTAACCTGGTTTCATAATTCTGTGGATGATCGTATTGGAATGATGTTTTCTAAATACAGTACTGCCAAGAAGGTGTGGGGTTATTTACAGGGTGTTTATCAACAGTCCAACTTTGCCAAGCGGTATGAGTTCGAAATAGCTATTCAGAGTGCTCGTCAATGGGAACAGACTAATCAGGATTTCTATATTGAGATGACACGTCTCTGGGATCAATTGGCTCTCATGGAACCATCTAGCCTCAAGGTACTAGACACTTATGTTGAGTTTCGAGAACAGTGTCGTTTAGTGCAGTTCTTAATGGCTCTTTCCCCCCAATGTGAGGCTATCCGTGGTGGCATCCTTCATCAGTCTCCTCTTCCCTCTGTGGATGCTATTGTTTGTGAGCTCCTCTCCGAGGAAACCCGTCTTAAGACGGCCAGTCAGACTCTATCACTATTTGTCTTCTTGGCTCCTACTCAACCTCCTCTGCTGTCAAACCCCTCTCATCAGCTTCATTTCACTACAAAGCCCAAGAAGGGGCCACTAGCCTCTGATGAGTGTGCTTTTTGTCATCAGAAGGGACATTGGAAGTACAACTGTCCCAAAAAGGGTCATCAGTCTGCTCAGTCTTCTCAGTCGTCTCAGCCACAGTTTCGAGGTCCTGCTCCGAGTACTGTTCGCCCTCCTACTGCTTATACTGCCTCTACTCCAGCTTCTAATCCTGACTTGGATTCCTTGAGTGCCCAAATTGCCCAGTTTTAGCATCTCTAATCCACCTCTCAGTCATCTTCATCTGCCTCTGCTCTTACCTCTCTTTATTCAGGTTTGCTTAGGTCCTCTTCAGGTATTCCTTCCTTTGTCCGGCTTTTCAATTCTGGTGCCTCTCATCATATGACTCCTCACCTTTCCTTACTCCAAAACTGTATCCCCCTCCCTTTCCTATTACTATTAATACTGCTAATGAGTCTCGTATGTTTGTCCTATCTATTGGGTCTGTCTTATCCTTTGCCATGCTTACTGTTACTATTCCCTTTGTTCTTTATGTTCCTCAATTGTCTGTTAGCTTATTTTCTATCAATCAGCTTGATGCTTTTGGTTTTGATATTATCTTTTCTTGTTTTGTTTGTTGTGTGCAGGATTGGGTGTCCAAGAAGCAGATTGGGACCGGCCGTAGAGTTGGAGATCTCTATGTGGTGGAAAGTCGGCATCTTCCTTTGTCTACCTCCCCCGTTGCACTTTCATCTTTTCAGTTAGATTCTCAGTCGAGTCAGTTTTATTTATGGCATTCTCGCTTAGGTCATTTGTCTGTTGACCGTTTGCGGCTTTTAGCTCAAATTAATGAGTGCCGAGGATATAAACTTGCTAAAATAACAGTTTTACCTTTTAATAACAGTACTTCTATTTTTGCTTTCCCTTTTTCTCTTGTACATACTAATGTCTAGGGCCCTTCTCCTATTCTTGCTAAAGGGGGTTCTGCATACTATATGTCCTTTGTTGATGATTGTACCTGCTATACTTGGGTTTATCTTATGGCTCATAAATTTGACTTCTACCAGATATATCGTACTTTCAGTCTATGATCACTGCACAATTTAAGGCCACAATTAAAATACTTCGGTCTGACTTGCGTGGGGAATACTATAAAACTAAATTATGTGAGTATTTGGCTCTATTGGGTACCATTCACCAAACCTCCTATACTGATACCCTTGCCTAAAATGGTCGTGCTGAGGGTAAACACCGTCACCTCCTTGAGACAACTTGATCTCTCATTTTTTCTACCTCTGTTCCGACACCATTCTGGGGTGAGGCAGTTCTTACCGCTGCTTTCCTTCTTAATCACATGCCGACTCCCCTACTCTCCGGTCAATCCCCTTATAAAGCTCTATATTCCCAACCTCCCAATTATTCCCTCCTGCGTGTCTTTGGGTCTACTTGTTTTGTCCTCATTTCCCGTAAAGATAGGACCAAACTTAGTGCCCGGTCTGTCTTGTGTGTCTTTTCAGCTTACAGTCTTACTCAGAAAGGCTACCATTGTTATGACCTTGTCTCTCGTCGCCTTTATGTCTCCCGTCATGTTGCCTTTCTCGAACGTCTGTTTTACTTTCAGCTTCCTCCTCTCATTGCTTCCGTTTCTAAAGAAGATTTGGTTCACATTGACCCATTTCCTTCGGAGGTCCTGTCTGATGAGTACATCTCCACTCTTCCTCTTGAGGCCATTCCTAGTTCTCTGTCTGCGTCATCCAAGGCTCCTTCTCTTTCATTTTCAGCTTCTTCTTTCACTTCGTTGTTGGTCTATTCTCGTCGCCAGGCTCCCCCACCACCAGTTGTCTCTACTCCTATTGCTGCTCCTTCTATTTTTGACAACTCTGATCCTACTGTGCACCGATATCCCACTTGTGAGCGTCGTCCTCCAAACAGGTTAGGTTGGTCTAATACATATTTTTTGCTTCCTATCGTAGTTTTTTGTTTGTTATTCATCCTTTTTCAAAATCACAGTCTTATACGGAGGCCTATAAAGATCCTAATTGGGTTCAAGCTATGGAGGATGAGTTGTTTGCCTTACAGAAGTCTAACACTTGGGAGTTTTTCCTTTGCCTGCTGGCAAGAATCTGGTTGGTTGCAAATGGGTCTATAAAGTCAAGACTCATTCTGATGGTTCTCGCGAGTGCTATAAAGCTCGCTTGGTTGTGTAGACACCCCATTTTTGACCATCCTCAAGACTTGGACGTCATCGTTTGAACACTCGATGATCATCCATGCTCGTGTTCATTTTGAGTTCCCGAAAGTTTCGGCTGCACGCCTTGCCTTAGGATCTCTCAACTTGTTTGTTTTGTGCTTGGTTGTGGACCAAGGACTTGTGGCTTTGTTTCTGAGGGAAGAGGGTGGCTTGTTGGCGATCCCCTCAACCCATCGGCCAAGGCATGAAGCCATCGGCCTTGTTTTCTTGCCATCGGACAAAAGTGTTAGCCGATCGGCACTCTTTTTGGTCGATCGGCACTTTGTTTGGTCGATCGGCACTTTGTTTGTTCGACCGGCCTTGTTTTCTGGCCGAGCCCTGTTCATCTGCTTTATGCTGATATTTTATGCCAGCTGTCACAGCTGGCATGCACAATTCACATCCTCCATACACGTGTATGGAGGGATTTGCACCTTGTTTTAGCTTCTCCAAGAAGCTTTGGAATTGAATTCCTATAAGAAGGTAGCTCTTCCTCCCTTCTTAGAGGTTCAAAAAATTGATATAGAATATATATATATATATATCTATATTTGTGAGTGTGTTCGTGCTCTAATGGGTATTTTGTTCATACTTTTGCACTAGAGCACCTAGTAGAGCACTATCCTTGGTTGCTGAGGTGCTAGGGAGTTGGTGTTAGAGTTCTTGAGGTGGTTTAAGCCTAGAAAACCTGTTGGAGCTTTGTTCTTGAAGGTGTTCTTCAAGGGTGAGCAAACTTGCTTTTAAACCTCCATTCTTGCTTAAGTTCTTAGACCTACTTGCTTATTGTTTTAAGCTTAACTCTTAACTGGTAAAAGTTCTTATTTTTTATGCTTTAGATCTTTGTTTAAGATCACTTTTTGGTTTGGGATCGTTTACCCCCTCTTAGGCCTTGTTAGGCCTTGTTTGGAGCCATCCCTTTTGGCGTTTATTCTTGTCTTTGCATGACCTTTCTACCACTAAAATCCAGAGAATTTTCAGTGGTGGAAAGGTAGTTTTGAGGTCTTGAATAGGAGAGGCACACCCCTCTCTCCTTGTGTCCCATTTGCTTGTATATTTGGCTCATAATGGCAGCATGTTTGCTTAGCATGTTTTGGCTTCATTTCAGCAAGTATTTGGTGTTATTTGGCCATGATATACCTCTATTTTAAGTTGGTTTGATAGCCTCTTGCATGCATCATACACTTGTCTTGCAATCCTCTCATTTGCCTTAACATGCACCATGCATTTGGACCATCATGCTTGCATATTTTGGCTTAACTCAAAGGGACTTTTAGTCATGTTTTGCCATGTTTAAGCTTTGTTTGGTGTTGTTTTGATCATATATGCAATGCGTTGTATAGCTACCATGCATTTTAGCTTGTTAGCTTTGAGTGTCCAAGTCATTAGCATGCATCACTTGGACCATTTTCATGATTTGGCATCATTCCATATGTGATTTTAGTCCATGTAGTGTAGCCATACACTTGCATTTGTCATCTTTTCCATGCATTGGGAGGTTGATGTTTGGTGCCTTAAGGTTGGGTCATTGTGCATGCCTCCATGATTAGGTCTTTGGGATGCCATCTAAGTGGGTTTTTGGGCCTATTTTGACATGCCATATCTCTGATTTTTCATTGGTCAAGTCATGCCATGTTTGGATTTGATAGGTGTAGTACAATCATCCTTATTGGCCTTGTATGCGTCATGTTTTGTGCTCACCTTTCTAACATGTTTTGGCCTCATTCCATGCACGTTCTAACCTTGTTTTGGCCTGCCTTGGGACTGTTTTGAGTGCCCTTGGCCCTTTGGGGCTTGCCTTGCATGGCCATGGTACAAGCTCCTTGTGCTAGCCTCAAGCTTTGAGCTCTCTTGCATGCCATACTTGCATTGTTTGGTTGATTTGGCATCACTCCTCATATGATTTCAGAGCTTCTGGTGCCATCACATATCCATGCTTGTCACTCTCTAAGTGTGCTTAAGAGTTGCATCTTTATGCTTTAGTCCTTGGGCCAATTGGCATGCCCGTTTGCCATGCCCTTTTCATATTTCATTTCCATCATTTCTTGGCATTTTGGCCACTGATTTTGGGCATGGCTGAGGTCTGTCCGTCTTTAGTTTAAGTCCATTTGCCATGTTGTTCAAAGTTGCTACTTTACATCATGCTTGCATGCTTGTCCATCTTTGCATGCCATGCATGTTCGTAGGATTATGGTTGCATTTTGCATGCTTGCTAGCTTGCATTTTATCACATGCTTGCTACCTTAGCCTTGTGTACATGTTTGGGTCATATTGCATTTGGCATGCTTATGATGCATTACATAGCTTTTCCATTGTTGCATACATTGCATTATGTTTGGTCTAGGGTGTCAAACCAAACATGAGGAACGAGGGACGTTTCGTACTTGAAGTAACGAAACGTGCCTCAATCCTTAGTCGCCAGCATTCTTGATCCAACATGATAGAGTGTGAGGCATTCATTTGTTTTGTGCATTCATTCTATATTGATGGTTGCACACTTGGCTCATTTGGCCATCATGCATCAAAATGTGTGATTGGTGGCCCGAGGGTCGAGAACTACACACCTTTGAGCCTTAAACATGATAAGGGGTGTAGTTGCAAACATTATCTTGTAAATGCATTGCCATGCTCTGCTTGCCCTCTGCTGCAGCAAAGGAGCAATCCACAGGAAGGAATAGCCGATTGACTATATTCAGTGCCGATCAACTAACAGTGTTTGGCCGATTGCCTTCTACTTGGTCGATGACCCATTTCCCTTGGCCGATAGCCATATACTTTGGTCGATGGACTCCCAGAGTATCCATAAGATGGATTAGAAGTATGTCAGAGATGTTCACAGTTTTCAGAGGTGCAAAACAGTGCAAACAGAGGCAACATGAGGCATGGCAACGAATTTCGAGTGAGGCAATCGAGCATGCATCATCAATCATTCCGGGGCAGAGCTGTGGAAGCCCCTTTAGTTTCATACTTAGTTTATTGTGTAACTTAATTAATTTGCTTAGTTAGTTAAGGTTTTGTAATAATTAATTAGCTAGGGTAGTTAATTAATTAGCTGATTTGTATTTTTTATTCGGACCCTCCGTCGAGAGGGCGAATTTTGTAATAAGTGTGCGTGAGTGTGTGAATGTCTTCCAACCCCACGTCTTTCTCCCTTTTGCTTACCTGCTTTCAGTGGTTAGTTCTAGGTCATATTTCAATTAGCATACTTATGATAGCATGTTTGCATACATTCATTCGTATTGTATGCACCGGGCTCGGCGCATCATACTAATTGCATTACATTTCAATTCCTACTTGAATACATGATTATCAAATTGCATCTCATATGACATCTTAGAATAGCCGAGCCTATTTCTAGTTGCATTTTGCATGTGTTGTATTAGCCATCTTAACATAGCTAGGATCATGCATTACTAACTAGCTATTGTTTTGGCTCGGAGTACTACGTAAGCTTTTTTGCTTTAGCATCTTGCATATGTGTTAGTGTTGCCAAGATAGCATGCTTACCATGAGGCTAACTGCTTATGTGTTTAACTGCCTGAATGCCTGTGGGTGAAGGTTGGATTACTTGAATTGGAACAATTCATTGAAATGCGAGTTTTAAGCCCACTTGAGAGCGACAAATCATGTTTTCTTAAGCCCACTCGAGGGTGGCAAATCCACGTCTTAGCCTACTTGCAAATAGCACCTTTAAACCATTTTCAAACAAACAAACATGAGATGTTTTGTTCCAACTTAGGCGATGTAGTCTATACTTGTATTTTGTATGCATCACATAGTAAAGCTAGCTAATAACTAGAATAAGGCACATGTGTTTTAAAAAACAAGATATCATGCTTAGTACAGGCCGATCTTTGATCAGGCGAGCGGGGGTGGACATTACATGACCTTCCCCTCTCGTACCCAAGTTCCCAAGCCGGGGCAACTTTGGTGATGACGGACGCGTGGCCTTAGGCAACGAGTCAAGGTTTCCTAGATTTCCCAAAACAAAAACATTTAGGTGGCGACTCTGTATCTGGCAAAGCAGTCCATGTTTGGCACTTCTTTATTAAAATTAGTTTTCCAAAACGATTTGCCGGATTTGGACTCTTTGGTGATTTATCAGTCTTGCATTGCACTTTGCGAGATTAGATTCAAGACCACGACATTGAGTCCGAACTGTAGCAGCCCAATGAACAAAACGGGGATTTTCCCGGGACGTTCGGGCGCGTCTATAGGTTGCCAAGGGTTTCTCACAGAAGTATGGTATTGATTATGAGGAGATATTTGCCCCTATTGCCAAGATAACTACTGTCCATATCATGATTTCTATTGCTGTTGTTCAACATTTGCCTCTCTATCAGATGGACGTTAAGAATGCTTTTCTTAATGGTCATCTCACTGAAGAGGTCTACATGCGTCCTCCTGGTCTTCTCTACTCTTCTGGGTAGGTTTGTCATCTTCGGCATGCTCTGTATGGTTTGAAGCAGTCTCCTTGTGCTTAGTATGATCGCTTTCAGACAGCCATTACCGAGCTTCGATTTTATCTTTCTACTTCCGACTCTGCTTTGTTTCTGAGATATACTTCGGCTGGTTTTGTTGCTCTCCTACTCTATGTGGATGATATGATCATCACTGGATCTAACTCTTATGCTATCTTTGAGGTCAAGCAACATCTCTTCCGCACCTTCGAAATGAAACATCTGGGTTCATTGCGGTATTTTCTTGGTATTGAGGTTGCCTCTTCTCCAAAGGGCTATTTTTTGTCTCAGACCAACTATGCTAATGAGGTTATTTATTGTGCTGGTCTTACTGATACTAAGGTTTTTGATACACCTATTGAGCTCAATGTGAAACTCAACTCAACTGATGGTGTCTCTCTAGATGATCCCACGGTCTATCGCAAGCTGGTGGGTTGTTTAGTTTATTTGACTGCCACTCGCCCTGATCTTGCTTATGCTATTTATGTGGTTAGTCTGTTCGTTTCTGCTCCTCGCTCTACCTATTGGGCTGCTTTGGTTCACATTCTTCGCTATCTCCAGGGTACCATCTTTCAGGGCTTGCTGTTGTCCTCTACTTCCTCTTTAGACTTGGTCACCTATGCTGATTCTGATTGGGCTTGTGATGTTAATGATCGCAAGTCCACCTTTGGTTCCTATATGTTTCTTGGCGATTCCTTGATCTCTTGGAAAAGCAAGAAACAAATTGTTGTTGCTTGCTCTACTGCCGAAGCTGAGTACCGTGCTATGGCTCATGCTACTGCTGACCTTGTTTGGCTTCATTGTCTTCTCTCTGATTTGGGTGTACCTCAGTCTTCTTTGAACTCCCTCTATTGTGACAACTACAGTGCTATTTAGATTTCCCACAATACTGTCTTTCGTGAACGTACGAAACACATTGAGATTGATTGTCACTTTGTTCGCCAGCATCTATAGTCTGGCTTTATCTTGCTTCTCTTTGTCTCATCGACTTTGGAATTTGCGGACTTCTTCACCAAGACTCACACTACTGCTCGGTTTCAGTTTCTTCTTAGCAAACTCTTAGTATTTTCTGCTAAAATACCTTGAGTTTGAGCGGGGGTGTGAGAATATATATTGTATATATGGCATGATTGTGTAAAAATAGGAATCTTTGTATTTCTTTTTTCAGTCATAGGTTGGTTTAGGCTATATAAATTGATGACCTCTTTGTAAACAATACACAATTGAATATACGAATTCTTTTAGAATACTTACAGCAACCACGTGGAGGGTTGCTCTAGACATACTTTAAGAAATAATCTGAAGATTAAAGTCCACATGGAAGCAAATGATTACCTGTTTTGACGTCTCAAGAGCTATAAGTTCTACTATTCCAGTTCCAGCCTACAATTCAGAGGACTAGAGTCAGATAGATAAAAATAAATTTGATTATGTATTCTTCTGTTGATGATCGATGCTTGATGATCTAGAAGCAGACTGCTAGAAAGGGATGACAAAATAAGAACATAAAAATTAAAACTACCCAACCAAAAAGATCCTCCCTCTCTATCTATCTATCTATCTCTCTCTCTCTCCCTCTCTCTCTTTTTTTGACTGCGGGGGGAGGGGCGGAGTGAAATGCAAGACTATCATTATGCTCAAAGCTGGGACTGCTTAAAAACAATTAGAATGAATGAGGCCTCAATATGAGTAAGAGAGGGAATTCTTCTGCACGAGCGTATAGAGAGAAAATAGGTCTAGAATGTGAATACATTAATAAGTTTCCACTGAAGTTATTGCCTGCCCAATATTTCGACCTACGCTTTCCCATGCTCCATATATTTAGTTTTTGATTTTCCTCAGAATGCCAAAATATAGATGAGATGAAAGAAGTAAAGCATGAATTAGATTCTTACTTCTCTAGCACCAAAAAATAAAAATGTGTGCTCAGCCAAGGTACCGCCAAGTAACTTCAGTACTGCAATAAGACCTGCAAGAACCACAGATGCTATCCCCTACAAAATTTAGACAACAACACAGGATTCCAAACCTGGATATCACCATGTTTCCATTATGAGAATATATTATGAAATATATTGTGAATCTTACAAATTATATTAGAGTCCTATTAGAGGCATGATTGTATTAGAGTCCTATTAGAGTCATGATCATATTGTATTTCCTTTTTGGTTTAGGAGTTAGGGCTATATAATCTAAGGTCTGATTGTAATCAAATATACAATTGAATATACAGAAATATAGAAACTTACATGGTATCAGAGCCACGCCAGAAACCCTAGGTCTGGCCTTGATCATTTGAATCATTCGAAGTTCTTCATTCCTACTTGCTGGATTTGTCTGGGTCGATCGAAGCCAGCCTTCTCTGGGTTGTGACAGTCACGACAGTCCTCTCTGTCTTCACTGACATCGCGATTGACTCCTGGTGCTGGGTCTGACGTCGCGAGTCTGCTTGGGCTTGATCTCACTCTCTCGTGACCTCTGTGTTGGCTCTCTCTCTCTAGTCTTTACTCTTGGCTTTGCTCTCTCTACCTTTGGTTTTGTTCTATGTGTTCTAATTTCAGTCCACCTTAACCCCTCTATCTCAACTTTGGATTATTACAGGTTGACCCCTCAATCTTATTGGGTTTTATCACTGTACCCCATCAGTTCCCTTTTCTTTTATTTCTAGTTCATTACAATGTCGAAAGATAAAATCCAAGCTATTAAATACAAGTTTACAAGTGACATGCTTATTGGTCTAGTGTTATGAGAAATTTTCTTCTCGGTCGAAAAAAATGGGGATATGTTTCTGGTTCTATTCCTCGTCCATCAGATCCCAAACAAGAAGACTCTATGAGTTCCTGTGACACTTGGGATTGTGATAATGCACAAGTTTTGACCTGGTTCCATAACTCTATAGATGACCGTATCGGGATGATGCTCTCTAAATACAGCACTGTCAAAGAGGTGTGGGATTACTTACAAAGTGTTTATCAGCAGTCCAACTTTGCCAAACGATATGAGTTGGAAACAACTATTTAGGGAGCTCATCAACGGGATCTGTCTATTGAACACTTCTACATTGAGATGACAGACCTCTGGGATCAACTGGCTCTCATGGAAGTACAACTGTCCCAAGAAGGGCCGTCAGTCTGCTCAGTCTTCTCAGCCGCCTCAGCCACAGTCACGAGGTCCTGCTCCGAGTACTTTGCACCCTCTTGCTACTTATACTGCCTCTGCCCCAACTTCTGATCCTGACTTAGCTTCTTTGAGTGCCCAGATTGCTCAGCATCAACATCTCTGGTCCACCTCTTCGTCATCTTCATATGTCTCTACTCTCATCTCTCCTCATTCAAGTTTGCTTGGGTTCTCTTTAGGTATTCCTTCATCTGTCTGGCTTTTTGATTCTGGTGCCTCTCATCATATGACTCCTCACCTTTCCTTACTCCAAAACTGTATCCCCTTCATTTTTCTATTGCTATCAATACTGCTAATGGGTTTGGTATGTCTGTCCTATCTATTGGGTCTGTTTTACCCTCTGCTATGTCTGCTGTTACTAATCCCTCTATTATTTATGTTCCACAACTATCTGTTAGCTTACTTTCGATCAGTCAGCTTGATGCTTCTAGTTTTGATGTTATCTTTTCTTCTTCTGTCTGTTGTGTGCAGGATCAGGTATCCAAGAAGTAGATTGGGACCGGCTGTAGAGTTGGAGATCTCTATGTGGTAGAAAGCCTGCATCTTCCTCGGTCTACCTCCTCCGTTGCACTTTTATCTTTTCAGTTAGATTCTCAGTCGAGTCAGTTTTAATTATGGCATTCTCACTTAGGTAATTTGTCTATTGACCACTTGCGGTCTTTAGCGCAGTCCAGATTATAGGTAAAGTTTCTCCTAGCCAAATTAGTGAGTGTCGAGGATGTAAACTTGCTAAAATGACAGCCTTACCTTTTAATACCAGTACTTCTATTTCTACTTTCCCTTTTTCTCTTGTACATACTGATGTCTGGGGACTTTCTCTTGTTCCTACTAAAGGGGGTTATGCGTATTATATGTCCTTTGTTGATGATTGTACCCACTACACTTGGATTTATCTTATGGCTCATAATGCTAACTTCTACTAAATATATCAAACCTTTCATTCTATGATTACTACACAGTTTGGAGCCACAATTAAAATACTCCGGTCTGACTTGGGTGAGGAATACTTTAAAACTAAATTCTGTGATTATTTGGCCAAATTGGGCACCATTCACCAAACCTCCTCTACTGATACCCCTGCCCAAAATGGTCATGAAGAGCGTAAACACCGTTATCTCCTTGAGACAGCTCGATCTCTTCTCTCTGCTTCTATTCCGGCACCATTCTGGGGTGAGGCAGTTCTTACTGCTGCTTTTCTCCTTAATCGCATGCCGACAACCTTATTCGCCAGTCGATCCCCTTATGAGGCTTTGTATTCCAAACCTTCTAATTATTTCCTTTTGCGTGTCTGTGGGTCTGCTTGTTTTGTCCTCCTTCCTCGTAAAGATAGGACCAAACTCAGTGTCCGGTTTGTCTTGTGTGCCTTTTTGGGTTACAGTCTTACTCAGAAAGGCTACCACTATTAAGATCATGTCTCTCGTCGCCTTTATGTCTCCCGTCATGTTACTTTCAGCTTCCCCTCTCATTGCTCCAGTATCCAAAGAGGATTTGGTTCACATTGACCCATTTCTTTTTGAGGTCTCGTCTGATGAATACATATCCACTCCAGTCGATCCCCTTATGAGGCTTTGTATTCCCAACCTCCCAATTATTCCCTTTTGCGTGTCTTTGGGTCTGCTTGTTTTGTCCTCCTTCCTCGTAAAGATAGGACCAAACTCAGTGTCCGGTTTGTCTTGTGTGCCTTTTTGGGTTACAGTCTTACTCAGAAAGGCTACCACTATTACGATCATGTCTCTCGTCGCCTTTATGTCTCCCGTCATGTTACTTTCAGCTTCCCCCTCTCATTGCTCCAGTATCCAAAGAGGATTTGGTTCACATTGACCCATTTCTTTTTGAGGTCTCGTCTGATGAATACATATCCACTGTTCCTCTTGAGCTTGTTCCTTCTTCTCCTTCTGTTTCACCTCTGGCTACTTCTCCTCTTTCGGCTTCTTCTCCTCCTCTGTTATTAGTTATTTGTCCATTTTTCAAGGTCTCAAAGGGGTGTGAAAACACATAAGAACTCTTGAATGGAAATGGAAAAGAGATGTCACTCCAGTTCCTTCGGAAATGGTAAGATCTTTGGCGTAAGAAGAGGGGGTTGGTCCATATCATCTTGACTTGGTTCTACTTCCTCTATTTTTTTAGGAATACCGAGTCGGGTTCTTCTCCTACCTTATCGAATAGAACATGCTGAGCCAAATCTTTTTCATGTAAAACTTGCTTGATTTAGATCGGCAAAATTGTGTGGTTTTATTCTCGTCGCAAGGCTCCTCCTCCACTAGTTGTCTCTGCCCCTGCTGCTGCTCCTCCTGCTTCCGATGACTCCAATCCTACTGAACACTGATATCCTACTCGAACACGTCATCCTTGGTCTAATACATGTTTTTCTACTTCCTATCGTACTTTTTTGTCTGATATTCACTCTTTTTCAGAACTTCAATCTTACAAAGAGGCACGTAAGAATCCTCATTGGGTTCACACTATGGATGATGAGTTGTCTGCTCTACAGAAACCTAGTACTTGGATGTTGGTTCCTTTGCCTGCTGGTAAGAACTTGGTTGGTTGCTAATGGGTCTACAAAGTCAAGACTCATTCTGTTGGATCTCTTGAGCGCTACAAAGCTCGTCTGGTTGCCAAAGGTTTCTCTTAGGAATATGGTATTGATTATGACGATACATTTGCTCCTATTGCGAAGATTACTATTGTTTGTACTTTGATCTCTGTTGCCGCTATTCGTTCTTGACCTCTTTATTAAGTGGATGTTAAGAATGCTTTTCTTAATGGCCATCTCACTAAGGAGGTTTACATGCGTCCTCCTTCTGGCCTTCCCCATTCCTCTAGCCAAGTTTGTCATCTTCGGCGTGCTTTGTATGGTCTGAAGCAGTCTCCTCTTGCTTGGTATGATTGCTTTCAGAATGCTGTTACCGAGCTTGGGTTTCATCCTTCTGCTTCTGACTCTGCTTTATTTCTGAGACATACATCAGCTGGTTTTGTTGCTCTCTCACTCTATGTGGATGATATGATCATCACTGGCTTTAACTCTTCTACTATCTCTGAGGTCAAGTAGCATCTCTGCCGCACCTTCGAAATGAAAGATCTGGGTCCATTACGGTATTTTCTTGGTATTTAGGTTGCTTCTTCTGCACAAGGCTATTTTCTGTCTCAGGCTAAGTATGCTAATAAAGTCATTCACCGTGCTAGTCTTACCAATACTAAGGTTTCTGATACACTTATGGAGCTTAATGTGAAGCTTAACTCTACTGATGGTGTCCCTCTAGATGATCCCACTTTATATTGCAAACTTGTGGGTTGTTTAGTTTATCTGACTATCACTCGCCCGAATCTTGCTTATGCTATTCATGTGGTTAGTTAGTTCATTTTTGCTCCTCGCTCTACCTATTGGGCTGTTTTAGTTTGCATTCTTCACTATCTTAGGGGTACCATCTTTCAGGGCTTACTATTGTCCTCTACATCCTGTTTGGACTTGGTGGCCTATGCTGACTCTGATTGGGCTAGTGATGTTATTGATCGCAAGTCTACGTCTGGTTTCTGTATGTTTCTTGGTGATTCCTTGATCTCTTGGAAAAGCAAGAAATAATCAGTTGTTGCTCGCTTTACTGCCAAAGCTGAGTATCATGCTATGGCTCATGCCACTGCGGAGATTGTTTGGCTTCATTGTCTTTTGTCTGATTTGGGTGTCTCTCAGTCTTCTCGGACCTCTCTCTATTGTGACAACCGCAGTGCTGTTCAGATTGCCCACAATGCTGTCTTCCATGAGCGGACAAAACACATTGAGATTGATTGTCACTTTGTTCACCAACATCTGCAATCTGCCTCTATCTCACTTCCTTTAATCCCTTCGGCTTTGCAGCTTGCGGACTTATTCACCAAGACTCACACTACTGCTCAGTTTTAGTTTCTTCTTAGCAAACTCTCCGTGTTTTCCGCTAAAACAACTTGAGTTTGAGCGAGGGTGTGAGAATATATTGTGAATCTTACAAATTATATTAGTCCTATTAGAGGCATGATTGTATTAAGAGTCCTATTAGAGTCATGATCGTATTGTATTTCCCTTTTGGTTTAGGAATTAGGGCTATATAATCCAAGGTCTAATTGTAATCAAATATACAATTAAATATACAGAAATACAGAAACTTACAGCCATATACCAAGATATCATCACTGAATCGCGAGTCCGAACTGTAGTAGCACGAGGCCCCCACGCGGGCGCGTCTACAATGAGTAGAA